CTGATGAAATGTTAAGCCGTGGATTTAAGGATCAAATTTACGAGATTTTCCAAAAGCTGAGCACAAACATCCAGGTAAGAACATTAAGTGGTTGAACTGTTCATATGGGTGCAGATTTAGATAGTGTCTGAGAAGTGCTGAATTCTCCATTGTTCTGTGCTGTTGCTTTCTACTTTGGCCTCGCAGCAGGTCAGGATTTGCATAGGTAACAATCTTTACTGATTTTTATGATGTCGATGTTTTGCTTATGGACACTGACAACTTCGGTGTCTTTGGTGGCAGTTGCTAACACTGATGTGCATTCTAGGGTAGGTAACAATCTTTACTGATTTTTATTTATGATGTCGATGTTTTCGTTATGGGCACTGACAACTTCGGTGTCTTTGGTGGTAGTTGCTAACACTGATGTGCATTCTAGGTTGTGTTGCTCTCGGCTACAATGCCAATGGATGTGTTGGAAGTGACCAAAAAGTTCATGAGAGATCCCATACGCATTTTGGTGAAGAAGGAAGAATTGACTCTGGAGGGTATCAAGCAATTCTACATCAATGTTGAAAGAGAGGTCTGTATCACTTGTATTTACACTGGTTGGGTGAGCTCAGAAAAGTGAACTCTTTCACCTTCTTGTTAAAGCACTGTGCTAAAACTACAGAAATTGAGGCTGTGCTTTGGTTTCAGTAGTAATGCTAGTAGAGTACACGCAAGAAGAAGAAGAACTGTGCACTGGGTTCAACATGACTAGGGTGGACCTCTTTCTTAATGTCCAGTGTCCTGTGTCTTAAGACCTGGTGCAACAGTTGATATAGAAACTTTGATACCTTCACTCAGTTTTTCTTGGCATACTGATAAGTGTGTAACACTGGTGCATTGGTTGTAGCTTTTAAGTTCTTATTCCTTGCTTAGGGCTTCACAAGTACGGAGTTATCAATAGCAACCTTTTTACCGATAATTTGTTTGTTTCAGGAATGGAAGCTGGATACCCTGTGTGATTTATATGAGACACTGACCATCACACAGGCTGTCATTTTCCTGAATACAAGGAGAAAAGTAGACTGGCTCACAGAGAAAATGCATGCCAGGGACTTCACGGTCTCAGCTCTGGTGAGATTCGATATTTTCATTTAATTCACGGTATGTGACAAACATAGAAAAGTAATCTTAGAAAGCAAAAGCAGGAAAAGTTATGATATAGCTGTGCGGTGCTGTATTATCGTTCCCCCTGCTTAAAGAAAACTGCTTCCTTCTATCCCTACCTGCCTTGCTCCCACAGCAGGTAGGGACGCTGGGTTTCAAACACAATTATTTCTCTTTAAATGATGATCCAATCTGGAGTACTGGAAATACAGAAACTTCTTTTTTTAAACTCTACAGCATGGTGACATGGACCAGAAGGAACGGGATGTTATCATGAGAGAGTTTAGATCAGGATCAAGCCGTGTCTTGATCACTACTGACTTGCTGGTGAGTACCAATCTTAAATGTTCAGTAATGAGCCAAAAGCTTCGTAATTCAGTGAAGGTTCTTGTAGCCTGAACTACTCGAGCTTATTGGAAGAGTAAGGACTACGCTCCACTATGGGCTACACAGTTGTAGTTCATCACTAACCATGTGGTCAACAGAAACATGGAGTAAATAACTGAACAGACAACATCTGACTTGCATTAAAGACTCTGCCTTGTGTTTTAGGCTCGTGGCATTGATGTGCAGCAAGTTTCACTGGTTATAAACTATGACCTGCCAACCAATCGTGAAAACTATATTCACAGGTCAGTTTGCTTTTTTCTAGTTGGTACATGAAGCTGAATATATTTTTTTCTAACAGCACAGAATATCCTCTTTTTTGTAGCCTTTTCAGTAACAACTGTTACATTACACATCCATTCATAAAGTTAACTGCTAAAAAACTCGCAGAATTACTATTATTTTTGCTTTTAAAAAAAGCAGCACTGACTTGATGGTTGTGATCCTGAGATGGGGGAGGAGCAGAACTTTGTTAGCCAATAAAGCAGTGGGAAAACTTAGCTGTGCAACTACTTCAGTAATGGCTAATCATTCATTGCTGGGATATGGGATAATTGCCAGCTGCTGAGCTCCTTTTTTTGTTTTTATGTTGTGGAGTATGATTACAAAAGCATGATTAGCAAAGCATCTTGAAAGCAATGTTGTTAGCTGGATCTGCAGCTCATAGCCAACCTTCATTTGCTGATGATACATACTAGAGTAATTCTGAGCAAATCTAGGTCTGCAGCAGAATTGCTTTCACTACTAGTGGTTTGTTGTGCTCATGTTTTGTGTCTTGTTTGCTCTTGGTGGCTCCTTCTGCAGTGGGATTCTTTCCTCTGTGGCGTGTGTCTTCTGGTAGCAATTTGAGTTTTGTTTCCCTAGGTTTAGTTAACTGCTTTTAGTGACTGTCCTTAAATTAAGTAAACTGTGCTTTGTTACTTGATGTAAAAAAATACAGGAGTCGGTAGCAGCAGTTGATGACACAAGATGGTGCTCAGAAACGGCGTTGACGTAATTTAGGACGTGGATTCGTAAGCGGCACAGTTTGAATAAAGCGAGTCGGTATTTATATATTTCTTTTGTCATGATTATTCACTAAGTTTTGTGAGCTGTTTTTGTGTATTTAGCTCTTGCTGAATAGGTGCTTTCATTGTGCAGTCCCTGTAGGAAAGTAGAACTGATGGTGGGTTGTAACTAAATTGTGATGGTGGTTGTGACCGGCTTGTGCTTACACAAAAAAAGTCGAGCTTGGATTCTTCTGTTCTTAAACTAAGTTTTCCCACTGGAAACAGTATGTTCAATTAAAATCCATGATCTGAAATGTGCTGTTCCATGACACTAGATATAATTGGATGTTTTTCTCTGTATGGAATAGGCTTTTTTTCTCTTTGAAAGATAGAACATCTTCATTTCCCATATGCTTGGGATTGGATGCATGTGGGTACAGGGTGTTAAATTTAACAAGGAGGGGTGGGAGATGTCATACCACAGTACCAAACATTAAATGAAGATCTTATTTTGCAGCTGAAACAGTAACCATTTCTGCTCTGCTACCTCCATAGGATGGACACTCCTGTACTGTTGGTGCTGACTGCTCACTTTTCTTAACCAGCCATGACTTTGCTTAGCAGCTAGTCCTGTAAATGCAGCGCAAAGTGGCTACGAGCAGATAAATGAACAGCAGTTAATGAATGGATTTTACATTTTTAGGCATTTAAGTGGGTTAAAATAGTTAATGTGTGTGTAAATGTGTTTTCTGTTCTGTGCAGAATTGGCAGAGGTGGTCGCTTTGGCAGGAAAGGGGTGGCTATAAATTTTGTCACTGAAGAGGACAAGAGGATTCTGCGAGATATTGAGACTTTCTACAATACTACAGTGGAGGAGATGCCCATGAATGTGGCTGATCTCATTTAATCCCCGAGAGATGGTTGTGGAATGCAGTGCTCGCTGTTGCTGAATAGGCGATTCACAACGTGCATTGTGCTTCTTTCTTTGGGGATATATTGAATCTTGTCTCAATGCTCATAACGGATCAGAAATACAGATTTTTGATAAGCAAAGCGACTTTTTGTCGTGAGCTCTTGTGGGGAAAGCCATTGGCTTTATCCACTTTAGGGTTAGACTGTTGGGGTTGGGTGGAAAGTCATGGGGTCTGTAAATTTTTTCTTTATTAGAAATTTATTTCCTAGTTCCATAGAAGTGGTTGTATTAGATGTTCTTTATCATTTAATAATTTACTTATGGACTAAAAGATATAAGTGCTGTATAAAATCAGCCAATTATGTTAAACTAGCATACCTTCCTTTATTGTATGTATTTACACTTTAGATTGAATTGGAAAGGCCTTTCAAAATCTCTATAAACTTTTATAAGAGCATTAAAATGCATTTTTGTTTGATATGTATTTATTCAATAAAGTATTTAATTAGTGGTAAGTGTGATCTGGACCCTGTTGCTAAACCCCAGCAAGCAAGCAATCATACTATTGTCTTAGTTAGGGTTAAACCCAGTAAAATTTGCCATATTGCACATGTCTTAATGAAGTTTGAATGTTCAATAAAATACTTCTATATTCACTTTAAGTGTGAAGAGCTGCTTTTTGTTGGCTGGAGGGTTTCTTGGAGCCCATCCTAGAAGTGGTCGCTGGGCAGGGCTGGGAGTGTGGGGTGGCCTTGGTGCAGTCACTGCTCCTTGGGGTACTAACAGCAGTGGCAGGTGAGGAGAAGGGGGCAGCCTTGGCACTAGGAGCTACTCCTCCCAAACCCTGCTTCTCTGCTTCACTGCTGGGGCTGGATTATGCCTTGAAAAAGGGGTGGCTTTGTTAGTTTCTAGACATGTAAGCATGGCCTTCTTTCTCTGGGCTGTGGAAGCTGGAACCAGGTGGCATACAATGCACTTCATTTAAAAAAAACTATGGTAAAGTTCTTTGTGACCCTGCAGGGACTATGAGAGGAGACAGCTCTACCACTTCTGAACACTTCTAAAAAGCACAAAGAGAAGAAGGTTCCCCCTCAGCAGTTTAGTGATCAAATTTCTTTCTTAACCCCTGCCCCCTCTACCTCAGCTTTTGCTTTATTCTGACACTAACAGGGTTCAGTACATGATGCAGAGTGTAAGACACCTTTCTGAAGCCTTCAGCTCCACAGGGGGAGCTTTGGAACCTCCCCCCCAAAAGGGGCTTTGGCAACTTAGGAGCTTGGCTCAGCAGTAACTGCCTGAGCTTGCTCCTGCTGTAGCTTTTGCTGGTGCTGACAAAGCACAGTTGTGGCACTGTCACCAATAGTTTCTGCTGGAATGCAGAAGTGTTACCAGGCCCGTGAATTAACCTGTGATCTCTTCAAAGGGGGTACAAAGAAGACAACTCATTTCAACATGAGTTTTTCAACTGCTGAGCAGTCTCTTTACTACAAAACCAGTACAAAAATGCACAGCTTGCTGCGCCCCAACCCACGGTGCCCCCAGAGGCCAGCGCTGCTGGGCCCTGCGCAGCCACAGCACTAGCTGCCCTGGCTGAGCTGCTGCATCACCAGGGCACAGAGGCTCATGAGCTGCAGGTACTCGTCAGCTCCATCAGCCAGGCACTTGTCCACGTCCTGCCAGGGGAGAAACAAGTTACAGCCTGTGAGCGCACAAGGACAAACTGTTTATTCTCTGGCACCTCCCCCAGCAGCCATCACATCCTGTACTGCCCACGGCAGCAGGGAAAGCATCCCTGCTCCGGGCTCCCGAGGTGACGGCTCGTGGAGGGAAGGGAGGCGGCAGCAGCGCCGCAGCCGCCGGCCACAAGCACTTAATGTGGCACCCACCCTTTGCTTAACTTCCTCTCCAACGTTACATAAAAAAGAAACCCCGCCAGCCTCTTGCTTGGGCAACATTAGGACAAGCTGATCTGGCCAGTAATTCATTTATCTTAACCAGGATTTCAATTCCTCCTCAGAATTTCTCAGCCCAGAAGTTTCTCTCCCCAGGAACAAAACAAAAGAATAAAAAACACCTTCTACTATAAAATACAGAATTCAGAAGACAAAAAAAAATAGTTGGAAATACTTTTGGGGAGAGAGAGTGGGGCAAACAGAGATTGACCAATAAAGATTAATGAAGATTATTTCTAAGAACCCAAGATACAGTCTTACCGCAAGTTTCTCAGCTATAGCGGATTTCTGCTTGTCGGAGAAATCCTCGCTCTCAACAACAATATCATGAAGCTGGTTTACAAGCTGAGCAACAGCATAACCTTCATTTATCAGGTTCTGCGTCAGGGAGAGAAGAAAATGGAAATAAGGTAGCAAGAGCTAAACAGCAGCAGAGACAAAACCTGAAATGCTTTAACGGAAGTTTTATAGGAAGAAGATCCTTACCTGTCTCATGCTTTATACAAGTACTGTTAAGCTCAAAATCTGTTAACTGCACATCAAGTATTATTATTTAAGCAAAATTCCACCATAAGGCACCTGCTCTAGAACCTGGAGAGCAGTTCCAAACTGCTGCAGTAGATTACTCAGGGTCTGATGAGGCCCTAAGGATACAGGAACTCCATCTTATCATCTCTTCCTGTCAACACTTCTACACACCGAGGTAAGGAAACCTGGAAGCGCGAGGCAGCGACGCCTGTACAAATCCTAGCGCAACAGTTCTGAGAGCGGCTGTAAGTTTCTGGGAGAATAAATGCAGATTTAAAACTGAGGGTCCAGCCAAACCACCCTACAAGGCTCAGCCAGGTGGAAAGCCAGGCACCCGCAGTGCCCTTCTGTGCACGGGCAGGACCTGAGGCCAAATGTTCTTCACCTGCAACCCAGTAACTCAGATGTGGAAAGACACCCAGACCAGAGAGTTAAGAACTCTACCTTTGCCATTCTTTCCAGTTTTTCGAATGAAAAACTCTTACAAGCCAGTATCACTCCATCAATAGTTTCTTTGGGGATAACCTGTAAAGAGAAGTTTATTTTTCAACTTCGTAAGACTAAAATTATAAAGACATGACTAAAGCTGATGCTTACAGTAAAAGCTTCAAACCTTTTTTTTTTCTTTTTAAATAGAGGAGGCCATTTTAGCATTTTATTCCCCTATACACCCAGCCCCTCTCAAGTAAGCATGTAAGACAAAGTTACTCAATTTAAGATTGAGAGCTAGGCTTGGATTTTTTTTTTTTTCTATGATGGTAATTTTGAAAGAAAAACTACATGATGATAATGAATTGTCAAAGCTACATTCACAAATCAAAACATGCAATTACTTATTCAGGACACCGACTAAACCTACTTCAACAGTTTGACCAGCCCACGCTTTCTGCACCGCTCTGCAGCTGAGCAAAGGGCAGCTCAGTCTCTCTCCAGTTAAGCACCAGGGACCTACAGGAACAAGCTCAAGGCAGCAAAGCTCCTCAGTAACTCGGCAGGCAAAGCGAGAGCAGACACCATTACTTAGCTCCAAGCAGGGAAGTACAACCCACATTTCACCCTCTGCTCATTGCCACTCCTGCCAGGTGAGTGTCTGGACAGTTCATCCTCTGGTTATAAAGTTTTTTTAAATTAGTCTTTTGTACAAGGTTACTCCAGGGTCACAATAGGAACACAGAGCCAACATTGGGAATTTTTGAATGGAGATGTAAAGTCACGTTCCCTTGCTTTAGTCAACATTATTCAGCAAGGCACCAAAAGGAATTTGGAATTTTATGCCTTCTCTTTCCTATCATTACATCAGTCTCTCTGCCAGGTTTCTTAGAAATTACCACTTAGGGTTACTTTTAAATAAAATCCAGCTCTTTTAATACACCTAGAAACACAAAACTGAATACAGCTCACTGAGAAATCCTTTAAAAAACTCTTCTCCAGCAGCTGCACAGCAGCATTTGCCTTTTTTTTTCCCTCTCCCCTCAAAGTGGCAAACCCCCAAACAGGCCCAATCAGCCATGATAGTAGCACCTTCAAGGCAAAGATTAAAGCCCATTTACTTCTGACTCCTCAACTCCCAGTCTCAGATTTCTTGTTTTAAGGGATGTTTTGTTGCTATAGAAACACCTTCCCAGAAGTTATTAGATCTATTTTCTCTATTTTTCGCTGCTCCTGTCAGTACTACTTAATGTCAGCCTAGAAAAACCCGTGCTGCTCTGCTGAAACACAAAAGCTGCACAGATTTTTAAAGGGCCAGTGTTACTGGGAGCATCACACTGGAAAATGAGCCAATAAAGTCAGTCTCCTGCAGTGCTCTGAAATGCCAAACAAAAGTTTTGTGATGCTCTAATATACAGTCACAAGGACAACCTTCCTGTCTATTATCCAACAAAAGGCAATACATCTTGCGTCCACAAGCAGAATATTTTAAACTCTCATTAAACTATAAGACTATTTTACAGTTTTCCTTCAGTTATGCAGTAAGTTGCTAGACATTTGCTACTCAGCAAGTGCACAGAATCTGGCAGTCAGTAAAACTACAGAGGGAGGGGAGCAGTTGTGTATTGGTGCCATACTCACAACATTAAGAGGAATAAAATCATTTTTTATCAGACTTTGGGTAATAAACACCCTTGGTCAGGTTGTCAAAGGTTTTCAGGTTAATTACAGGAGGAACTGTAAAGCATAACTTACCCCAGCAATTTCAGTGACTATCTTCTCTGTGATCTCTTTCCCGCCCATTAGGCGAGTTGCACTTTGAAGAAAAGTAATTGCTTTTCTTAAGTCTCCTTCTGATACTTTAACAAGGTAAGATACTGCCTGAGGAACAACATGGAAAAAACAACAACTTATCCTTCCACTGTTAATTAAAAGCCAGTACACTTTTTCAGTAAATTGATTTTAATATATCAAGTAATGCCTGAAGCAAATTGATCACAGACAGCTTCAACACACAAGCTGACAAAGCAAGCTCTCTATTAATATTACTACAGGTCTAATGCAGATGGCAGCTCTTAGGAACAGCGTTTCACGTTACAAATACATCCCCAAACACTTCTCAAGTTACTTGTCTCAAAGCTGAAGTGAGGGTTAGAACAGCAGCCCACAGCTGTGGTGTGATCCACTGTTTATCCTATATTGCAGACACTTGTGTTATCTATGCAGCTTTTAACTGATTCTCTGAAGTAAGAGGCAGCAGGTTTAAGTTGCTCTTTGAAACGGGAGCGTTTGAGATGCATAATTATATTCTGTGGACTAAGTTATCGTTAACTCCTCTCATCTGTCAACACCTCTTTGTACTCGCTGAAGTGCAATTCTGACTATTCTGTTGCGTTTAAATGATGCAAAAGAACAAAAGCATCTCGTGGAGTATTTACTTTACCTTTGCTCATGGTTGCCATCTCCAAAACCTCATGAAAAATACAAAGTTTGAGCGGTTTGAAACGTAATGCAGGAAATACAATGTACTGAATATATTCTTAATTATGTAATATTTGCACTGTAAGCAGTGCAAATGTGTGCTGAAAACATCAGAATGAAGGATGGTTTAATGGGAGCATACTCAGGACAGAACTAAAAGCCTTGTGTTTTTATGCCAATTTGCTCTGGTTGACATTTCTCTGGTTTTAGGAAGTCTATGAAAATTCTACCCCATTTGTGGACGAGAATAACATCTAAATTAGTTTATATACTATATTGAGCACAGCTGAGCAGCCTGGAAAAGTGCTACTAATCAACCTCCTTTCACTGCAATGCAGTTATGCACTGGATTAAGCAATAAAACTATATAGCAACTACGAAGTTACCTCACCACTGATTTTCACATGTTCTTTCTCAGCAACATCCATGACTCTCTGCTGCTGGATTTTGTCTGACAGAGGTTTGAAGCGGAATTTGGAACATCGAGATGTTAAAGGTTCAATTATTCTGAGGGGGAAAAAAAGAAGTGTCTTGGCAAATGACTTCATGAGTCAAAACCAAACAGATGAAGTTATCAGGACTGAAGACAGCAACAATAACTTTAAAATTGCAATACTACAAAGAACAGAAGTTGATCGTAAACATAGTCTTCAATCTTATAATACACAGCTTCAGCTCTATTAAGTGAGAGCTATGAAAAGCAGGCATCAGTCTCACAGGAGAAAAAAAGAAAAATACTGAATAGGAAGTGCAACAAGCCCAGGAAAGCCAAAAATTCCACACAAACCTGCTGATGTAGTTACATATAAGGCAGAAACGTGTTGTTTTAGATTCTTTTTCCATTGTGCGTCTTAGGGCTGCCTGGGCTGCTGAAGTCATAGAGTCTGCTTCATCCAGAATCACAATTTTAAAAGGAGGACAAACTTTACCACTGGAGAGAAAAGAAAAAAAAATCATATATATATGATTTCACATATAAAAAATGACACTTGAACACTGCTAAAATTCTCTAATACTCTTATTCATGCTTTATGTTACTTCATTTAATAGCTAATACAGTGTTGTATTTTACAGCCTTCTTGATTCCCAGAAATTTAAGCAGCACTGCAGCAGGCTACTGTCAGTACACAAATTTGGAACATTTGCTGCCAAATGGTCCTATCAAAGTTTTTTTCCTGTTATGTTCTACAATCCATTCCTCTACCAGAACATTGTTAATCTTTTATTAGGATTATAAAATTAATTTAGATAAAAACAACCACATGCAAGGTCCTAGGAAAGAAAGTCCATTGAGCAGGGTCAGCTTTGACCCCATGCTTACTTACTCTGCCCGGGTTCCAGATGCAGTTAGCTGGGCAAAAGCCTTCACTTTTTCCCGAATCACTTGTATTCCACGCTCATCAGAAGCATTCAGCTCGAGGACTCTTTGCCGGAATAATTCAGGCCTGCAAATTGTTCATTACAACATATTAGCTGTTAATTTTTATAATGATATATTCTAAAGTAAAACAACAATTGGCCTGGACTTCCTGTATAGTAGGTATTTTTGCTAAATAATATTCTTTATTATCAATCAGTTATGTTGGAAATCATTAAATGTTAGATATGAATTTCCATTAGCTATTTTTAGAGTTGCCTTCCAGGCCACGGGAAACAGTGAAGCCTAAAAATTACCCTGTATACCAAGGGTACCCAGGTACATTCCCAAATGTACCAAGAGTTTATAGGAACTATAACACCTTCTTCAACTCCCATTTTTACTTTCACACACAACTAAATGCTACATAGTGGGAAGGGCAAGACCCACCCTTCTCATGAAGTGCTTGGAGATAAGTGTATATCAAGAATTCACTGAAGATACTATTAGAATGAGAATTCCTTTGTACAGTTCAGTAAGGCAAATGCAATCCATTTCTTTTCTTACTCTTTCCTGTTACAAGCATAGAGCCCAAAGCACGTAGGGTTACATGGCTGCTAGTCTCAAGCAAGTGTTATAAATCTACACTGGTAACAGACTCGTGACTGGACAACATGGAAAGAAATGTCACGTAACAAGCGAACAAGAAAATGAACCTCTTCCTAAAAAAGAGCTTTCAACAGATGTGAGTTTCCAGACACCATGTAAAAACAAGTGAGAAGCAGCCACACCAGGCTACATGAATGGCCGACCTTTGATGCAGATACTTATAGCAAGGCTACTGGATTCCAGCTTACCCAAAGAGCTCTCTAGCTGCTGCTAGAATCGTGGAAGTCTTTCCAGTTCCAGGTGGGCCATAAAACAACAGATTCGGGAGCTGAAAGAGCAAAGCATTAAAACAAGCAAAAAATCTTCAACAAAATCCACTGGAAAACCAACACCCGATAGGACAGAAATTATCCACTCCTGATATATAATACTAAGCCCTTTACTATTAGGTCACTGCACACAGTGCTCTAAAGGACACCAATTGCTGTTCATAAGATTGCATGAACAAGTTGACATTTGGTGGCACAATCACACCTTCTATCACAACCGATTATGCAATTCATATTTTATTTGGATATGTTGCCTCCAGGCCAAGTTTAGCAGAAACTTACTACAGCATACAAGCATCCTGCTACAGATAGAACTGCAGTATCACCCAAATGCATCCAAGGATGCCCTTCTAACGGTCTGCACGCTTCTAGCAGTGCAGCTATGATAAAATTTGGCATAGGCTATGCCAATTTAGCTATCCTAGATTTTCCCAGCTCCTCAGCCTGCTTTTGCAGGCCGTGCTGAAAGGTCTGGACTGCTCTAACTCCACTGCAGCAGCACGAGGTAGCTGTGAACACCTGCACTGCATGTGCAGCGAGTGCACTGCAGGCAGAGCCCAGCAGGAGCCATGCAGGTGCTTACAACAACGGCCCGGGATACACGGGTGCTAGTAAGTAATTTTCTACATTCATCCAAGGATTTCTTCTGAAGGAGGAAATCTGTGGCATTTCTCAAAAGAGATTAGGTTTATTGATCTTTCAAATATTTTCATTAATTACCTTGGCATAAAAATAGAGTGCTTTGGAGAAATATGCTGACACAGGAAGATCAAAGTAGCACCGCAAAGACTACAGTAATAATTACATGATGACATTTAGCAGCACAAAATACAAAATCTCAGTTTGAGACTGTAATTGAATATCTGCTAGGTGCCTGGAATTCATCACCTGGAAGTAAAAGAAAAGCTGGAACAGTATGAGCCTGTGTAACACAGTGGCCCTGAGTTGGCTGGACAAAAATTAATAATAACATGGTGCTATAATAAGACTTTACTTGGAAAGCTATCCTCATTCAAGAAATATAAATCCAATCTGAAAAATGTGATTAAGGGGAACGAGAGATTGTCTTAAGAGAAGTGGCCAAAAGAGTTTCATTTTGTTAGCTTAGCAAAAGAAAAGCTGAGGTAACAACTGCTCATAGAAACATCAGAGGGCAGCAGTAGGGTGAAAGAATGATGTTGCCACAAAACCAAGCTGCTATAAATTAGCTATGGGTAAGTTTTGTATGAAAACAAGAGGTTTTCTACTTATCATGGAAATAATAATTTTCTTTACAGCTAACTCAAGTAATCCCTCTTAAAAATTGATCAGTCTGAACTTTAAAACACCCGTCGTTGACAGTAGGGGACGGGAGCTGATGACCCTCCCAAATCCCTTCCAATTCTACATTCTTAGAACAAGAATCCAATAGTCTCCTCCAGCCAGCAGCAAAAAGACTAGGCCCAGCCTGACTTGATTTTCAGCCCTTTATAAAGGTTCTATTTAAAAAAAAAAAAGTTTACTAAAGTTAGAGAATTATATGCTGAATATAGCAAGCAATGCAGACAGAATGGGAGCAGCAAAAGCAAAACACCCAAAGAGCATATAAAGAAAGCAAGAGGATATGCCTTCTAATCAGAAAGTGAACTATAAACATGCCTGTAGAGTAACAAGCTTCCTCTAACAAGCAGACACAGAGAATAGATTGGCTGTGTATCCGCTATAAAAGCATGGGTGGTTCAGAGTGAATCTCTGTGAACACACCCATTCGAGTTTTGTATGTTCTTTCTGTTTCTGCTCGTTTCCTTGGTTATTATCAACGCATTCACAACTAGTACACATTTTTTCCCAAGTTTAGTTAGATATCACATAGCCTCTCTTCAGAGAGACAATTCTCCCAGTTCTCTCGGAATGTTCCAGGGAAAGGAAATGCCTACTGCCTGACAGCCAAAAATTCAGCAACAACCATGTTAAGGGCAATGCAAGGGTAGACATTCTGGGGAGTTGTGTGTTCACAAGATTGATAATTTCACTTTTATATGATAATCCACACACTGTTATTCTCCAAACGATCAAGTAGAAAGTTCTAGTACGAATCTATGTTTCCTAATTCCATTAAACCCATACTTAATAAGTGGTGGCTTGACACCCCAACACTCATGTCTCTGCTTCTCATCTGTATTTACGCTGCTTTTTCATAAAGCACGGCTTAATCCTTTATGTAACTCAGTGGCAGTATTTTTAAACAGACTGTAACCTGATCCAGTTATCCATTTTTCCAAGCTTGCCAGGGCAAGCAAGGTAACTGTAGACGTGTTACCCTGATTATAGGGAATTCATAGCGCAAACTCCAAGCCCTTTTCTAAAAGTTTTGAGACAAGTAAGTATGTAAATTGGAATGTTAACCCTACACTTAAACTTCTCTTCAGTCATTAAGATGTCATCAAGTAACTGAAAACTAAAGAATACCCTGTCAGCTTCTGGCAGGAATGGCAACTGCAACAAAACCGACAGTCCCAACAGGCAGAAAACAACTTCACCAACTCACAACCATTTGGACTCCACCCTCTCCAATCTGTAATAAAAGAGATGCTCCCTGTTTAAGGTTGAGATGTATCTGTGATTAGGGATTGCTGAATAGACAGGACTCCCAGAACTGAAGTCCACAGTTACGGGCAAATCACCAGAGCACCGGCTCTCCGCTTTGAATACTAAAGTTCAGATAAGTTACATTAATTTATAATGTTATCACAGCAGCTTCTGTAGTGGCTTGAGTATATTATGTTACTGCAGCTGTGAGGAAGGGGGCCTGCAAAATCTTGCATGATCTATTGGATGATCACACTATGCTACAGGTCACAACTGAACAACAACTTGATGAAATTAACAGGTATATGACACGAGAGACTCAGCAGATCTCCAAATTCAGCAAGAACCTCTAAAATGAGCATCAGCCACCTCAGACTTTACTTTGAATTTTTGCCCTTTAATAAAAATAAGTCAGAAATGCCTAAGCCCACAGAAATGCCTAGATTTTATAAATGCCAAATGTTTTAAATGACTTGAATGAGATTTTGTTCTCAAACAACATCCTGTCCTGTTGAGTTTGGGTACCTAAGATAAAATAAAAACTATAAACAAAAAGTATAGTTTGGCTTTTCAACTAAGAGGCAAAAATAAAAACAAACAAGCAAAAAAAAAAAACCCACAAATGACTAGGTTAATAATCCCAGAAACGTGGCTGATTCAGAAGCTATAAAGTTTTAAATAGCTGTGGCTTAAAATAGAAATTTCCAAACCATCACCTAAGCAATGTTACAAACTGCTGTGCCACCTCTTCTCCAACTAGTTGCTAATGGTTCTTTACTAATTAATTCAACTACACAGAAAGAGTATAGCACTGTTGCTGAAATGAATCATAGAAGTCCCTCCAGGTTATGTTTTACCAGCTTCGCTTTGGTTCCCTAAACTCAAACAAATCAACTACTTGAACTTCGGAAATTTCTGTTTAAAATAGTATTCCCAGATAGAAATAGACTCATGCTAGTCAAAAATCAGGAATTTTCTGCAAATTGTCTTAAGATAAAACTTTCAAACACCTAAAACTACCAGATCGTATTGAGCATCAGAACACACTACCAGTGAAACACTGGCAAAAACATTTCTGGATCCTAATTGCTTATTATAGTTGTCAGTGAAGGGATCTCAGTCATGAATATCATCTCCAAAACAGCCTTACCAACCACTTCAGCTGGCATTAGCAGACCACGAAAACAGAAAGATCTTTTGGAGCACAAGAATGATGCGTCTGGTGAGAAGTAGTGATCACTACACAAGTAATAGATCTGAGAGTTATTACCTCCAACTTCCCTCATTATCAAACAATGTATGGACTTTAATGCTTAGCAATTTCACAGCAGCACTGGCAGATCACTGAATCACTTTGGGTATGATTGGACATTCAGGCTAGATTACCTTTATAAAAGGGGAAGATTCCCTTCTCCCCTTAAATGTTAAAAGCTCTAGATGAATAACAACACCAATATAACAAAAACCTTTCCAGATTTAAAAAGTTTCCAACTACGCTTTTTTTAGGCAGATTCCCAACTGCATCACTGATGCAAAGCTGATAACTTTGCAATAGTTAGAGCTAGAAATATCAGAATCATTACACTCCTCGCACTATGCTACTAGAAAGCTGTTTATTTTCATAAAGTACTACTGAAAAAGTGATGATTCCGAACTCAGACCATTGATAACTCACAACCCCGCCTGCAGGTTCTTCTTAAACATTCTGTTAAGAGGGCAGCTGTCATCATTGCACTCACATCAGCACCTTCCAAGGACTTCTTGAGCACAGCAACAACCTCATCCTGGAAAGCAACTTCATCCACGGATTTGGGGCGACTAAACAAGAAGACATTAAACACAAGCTGTTATTTACAAATGTTTCGGTAAAAATCAGAATTGAGAAAAACAACACTTCCCTTTCACGCGACAGGGGTCCCTGAACATTTACAATAAACCAATTCTGTGTACGGGAGCAAACACGCAATGGAGGGAATGTGTCTTAAGGTTTGTTTGTTATTTTTTTTTTTTTTTCCCCCAGGAGAAAAAAAAAAAAAAAAAGAAGAAGGGGGAGAGCCTTGGAAGAAGTTTGTATTTGTAAGACGTAGCACTTGCACAGTTTTGGCTAAATATGACTAAATAGAAAGTTGTTAGGCTTGGGAATCTAGATTCTTTCAGAGAGATCTCTATTCTAACCAAATAACATAATGAAAGGATGATATAAGGTAATTTAGATGCAAGGAATTCCGGCAATGGCTCCTTTTTAAGGCTATTTCTTAGAAACTTTCTGGAACATTTTGACTATGCAGAAGTCAGATCCAGGTTCTCCCAGCTTTCTGCTGGAGTTTTGTCTGTTCCTTTTTAAAGGAGACAAAAATGATTGTATCTGCCACTTTTGCTAATGTCTTCCCTAGTCTGAGACATGCAGGGAAAAGAATCACAGGAATGTGAGAGAGGGCAGCCTTGCTGCACCTGTGCTTCAAACTTCTCACTGAAGCCCTGGGCTGGCTTAATGCGGGGGCAGAGCGCGGAGGATGCGGGATACGACGCCGCGGCACCGTTTAAGGACACAGATGGGTCCCAGGGGGGTTGCCAGCCGCCCCGCGGGTGCCCCTCCGTGCTCTGGTGGCTGCGTCCCCTCCCTGTGCGCGCAGGGAGCGAGCGGGGCCCTTCTGGAGGCAGCAGCTGCCTCCTGTGCAGCTCCAGATCTACCCCGTTACCCCGGGGCTCCCCGGGCTCCTCAGAGCAGGGTCTGGGCAAGGAAAAGGGGATAGGGAGAGGGTCTCCATGGCAACAGGCTGGAAAAGGAGGATGTGGAAAGGAACGGAGGCTGGAAATGCCTCCTCCTGCTAGTGGTGGACGTGGGTAGTTCTTGGCTGGGCGGTTCTGAAGAAGATTCTTTTTTTCTTCTCATCTGATGCTCTGTTCCTGAATCATGAAATCCAGATGACAGCAGGGCTAGCAAGAAATGCCCCTCCATATAATTACTGAAGTTGCCCAGTTCTAGATAAAAATCGAATGCTGATTTTCCCACTGTGATTATATTTGGCCTTATGCCGTCTTGGCAACTTTGAACAGCTTCTCTTCTGAAACTGAAACTTCCCTGTATTTTTGAAACTGTGTTGTCTCCTCTGGTCTCTCTGCCTGATAGAGCCATCTCAGATGTTCATGGCATTTCAGTGTTTTATCAACAACATCTGAGCCTCAGGTTCAGCTCATCAGAGAGGCTTGCTTTTCATTGCATTAGCATAGCTTTCATAACAGAACTTTCTGCTTTGTTACATGAACAAAAGAAAAAAAATACAGAAACCCAAACTGCTCCCTCTCTCTGTCTCCCTGCTCCAGGCTGAGAGTGAAATTTACTGTTGCTGCTCTCTGCGTTCAGTGATCATCATAGTCCGACATACTAATTTGATGTCCCTTTACTTGTCTGTCCCCAGGGTTTCCCACAGCAAAGGCTGTTTTCAGCAGCCCTGTCAGTGCCCCTGAATTTGGGGTCCTTTGAAATTGACACTGTCTAATGCAGCAAAAGGCCAACTTAGCTTTAAAATGTCAAGCATTCGGCGTTTGCTGGATTTGTTCCTCAAAGTGGTGTAATTGACAGCGTCCACTCAAAGGCAAAGTATAGTTATTAGAAAGTTATTAGAAAGTAGTTATTAGAAAAAAAAACACTTTATTCCTTTTGAGACATGACAAACATGTTTTGGCTAAACTGTTTCAAACAGTACAGAAGTAAAAATATTTGAAATATGGAGTGAGAGTCCTTTACTGCACTATTGCAGAAAGGCAAATAGCGCTCGGGGTGCCTTCTTTGTAGGTGTGCATCAAAGATCTGCCTCATTTACCAGCTTCTGCTAATGGAAATGTGCCCTGAATCTGCAGTCCTGCCATGACCAGTTAGAAGTGGTGACAATTACAGCGAAATTGCCCCGATTTTGACCCAATTGTGCCAACAGCCCTACAGTTCTTCCCAGGCAGTTCAGAGCTGCCGCCTTTGCCATGGGGATCAGACAGTCCATGGACAGAAGTTAATGGAGGAAAAGGAATGATATCAGAGTAACTGGGATATTAAAGAAGGTGGATGACATCAAAGGAAATTGGGAGAAGGATTCTAAACTTTTCTCAGCTTCTCCATCAGCCTCCCTTTATTTGCGTAAATGGCATCCTCAGGTGCACTCCAAATGTCAGAAGGACGGTGATCATGTTCTGGAAGAGGATTTTCTCGAAAACTAACAAATGGGTGATCCTATAAAAGCTATGAAGGCTTGGAAAGTGGAGATAACACAATGAAGGGGGTAGGTTAGCGTTCATGGCTGGATCCTATTTTGGTCCTTTATAGACTTGCAGTTGCCTGAATGGTTGTTAGTCATATAGGAAAGGGGTATATATATTTACATATGATGAAAAATGAGAGATTACGTTAATATAAGTACAATTTTTCACATGACCGTGTCCCCTTAAACATCGGCATTGAGAAAGTTTCAGAAATATTTCCCCCAAGCAGCTCAGCTGATCTATGGGTCAAAGTCATTTTGATGTCTTTGTGCTCAGGCCATAGGAATTGGCAAGCCCTTCTTGTCTGCGGTGTGCAAGTTGCCGTTTATTAAAATTGCACACGAGGCTTCGGCCTCAGCTGTTTGCTTCAAGCTGTAATAAATGGCTGTTAATTCGTCAGGCTGTCACTCCGTGGAGAAACCCGATTCTGCCAATCGCCTGTCATTGCAGGAGTGGAGTCGCGGTGTTTGCACAGCCCTGGCCCTGCTTTCGGCTGAGCCCCCGGCTCATACCTCAAGTGTAGGTCATGGTCCTCTGTATCTGAGCCTTATGGATCGGAGAGGGCTTTGCAGAGAGGAAATGTGCACCTGGTAGCAGCGAGAGCACTGGCGCTCGCAGGAAGACCCATCCCTGGAAATCGTTGCCATGGCAGTGACAGACTAAGCTGCTTCTGCATCTCGGAGCCTTTCCTTAGCGACAGGCACGTGGCCTTCGCTGCTCGTGGCTCCAAAGGCTCCCGAGGGCCCCGGCCCCTGTTCTCCCTCCCTCAGCGGGAGGGCAGGGCTGTGGATCCCCAGGGCTCCTCCGGCGGGTCGGGCTTGGTTCCGTCCCCTGGTGCTTGGGTTTGTGAATCCATCATAGCTCAAAAACGGGCAGCCCCGTTTACAGCCAGATACCACTGAAGCTTCACAGCGTAATGAAATCACTCTGTGGTCAGTGAATCTAGTGAAGCATGTGTCCCTCCCACCAAAATAACCCAGATTTCCCCTTTTTGTTGCTAATAACTCACATCAAGTGACAACACCCCCAACTCGCCATCGAATCTCGTTCCTCCCTGCCGGCGGCAGCGGGGCAGGGGGCAGTCCGTGCTCTGCGGTCCGTACGTGTCACCACCAGCCCCAGCAAACAGCGGTGCAGCCCCCTGCGTCCTTTCCTCTTTTGGGCTTTGTTTGCCTTGCCAATTTTGAGGGAACCTACGAGGTCAGAAGTTCCCGAAGGGGTGGCAGACAACCAGAAAGCGGGCTAACACAGCAAGAACAAATAATAAGAGAAAAAGGATCTTAAAATAGCAAGTGTGCAAGCTTCTGCAGTTAGGATGCTGAATGTTAGAATAAGAGCATATGGTCTTAAAATAACTGAGAATGATTTTAGCTAGAAATTAGAGGTTCCTGGCAATCGCTGATATTTTTGAACAGCCTTGCTGTAGGAGTAGTGGGAGCAAACCAGCTACACAGCTCTTCAGTGGAGTTTAACTCATTTATGAATGGGATTTTATAGTGTGCCTGCCTACAGAGAAGAATGTCTGTTAGATGTCTGGAGACACGGTGGCTTTTGTCGAGTGCTGTCCGTGCGTGCACTCTGCAACCCTGCGAGAGGAAAATGAGAGGCCTGGGGTCCTTCGGATCCCCGCAGAGGTTACGTCAGGGTGGCAGTCTCTTTCCTGGCAATGGCATCTTCTCCACTTGAGGAAATCCTCTCCGTGTTAGCCAAGGTCATTATGGATGTTAGTCAAGGTCATTATGGTTTGAACTCTGTTCCCCAAATGTGCCCTGCTAGGGAGAGGATCTCAGAGCAAACAGCTTTGATATGGATGTGCTGGCAGATGGGCGGCTGTCTTAGTCATCGTTGTCATTCTCACTTGTTTTCAAAGACTTGCTGTTAAACTAAGTCAACAAAAATATGCAAGAAGCTTCTCGGTGCATTTCATCAGTCATCCAAAATGAGGACAATGACACAGATTCTCAACTACCTTGTAGGTCAGCCAGCTACTTACAAGGTTTCCCTATCACAGAGGTACACAAAACCTTTAATAACACTGGGGCTTCCTAACTGACTGTGCTCTGATGTGCTGTATCTGATGTGCCTACAGGATATCTGACAGCTCAAGCCATGATCATACATGGTTTGAAAAGATGGAGCCAAGAAAAACCTTGTGTAGGGGTGGGGAAATCTGGAATTACAGCTGAATCCTTTTTGTTGGACTGGGTCAAACCTTGGAGGCAGCTGCACCATATTTTACTTTATGCCCTGATTTTTAGGTCCATAATAAATTTGCGCTCAGCTTCCTGAAACACCCCGTGTATTTTCAGCAGGCTTAAGAGGGGGGAGATGCGAAGGCCACGGGAGCCTCCGCTGCACCCTGCCCTTCTGCACCCGCGTTCCCTCGCAGAGGGCAGCCGGGCGCTGCGGCCAGGCCGAGCGCAGACCTTCCCGCTGCCGCGTGCCCAGCTCCTGCCCCGCGAGTCCCGGCCAGTGCTCGGAGGCC